ACAGCCAACACAGGAGGTAGACTGAACCATAAAATGGCTACCCCCAAGAGGCAGAGTCAATCAGGGAGTGAGGTCATGCATGACTCAAATAGTAACTCTTCACTATTTCAGGGAGAAGCTCTATTTTAACAGGATGTTTAAATGTTTAACAGGACGCTGTTTGAACAGGATGCTTAAAATATTTTCTGGCATACAACACAGCTTACCTTTCAGCGAAATTCCTTATGCCATGGTGGCAGCCGCTACACAGCCAATCAGATCTCCAGTAGCCAATCAGAAGCCCTGCTGGGCAAACACCCCGCCTACTTTCTAAAAAACACTTGGTGGACATCATGGCACCCATGAGTAACATGTTGGGGACCCCTGCCGCAGAGCCTCTGCTCCCTGTGCCACCAGAGGTATATGTGCATGTACACGAAGGGGCCATCTTTGTCAGCAGTACCACAGCTCCCATGGGGGAAAAGCCTTATCTATCCCTCCGGGTAGCTCAGCAACAGGCAAGAGTGGAAGTAAAAAAAAATAATCCTGAAAGGAGTGCTCCGTTTAGCTTATCTGCCACTGTTTTGGTGTTGGCTGTTGCTTTCTGGTGGCCTCTGGTGCAGCATGTAGGTCAGGGTCTTGAGAGGGTGCCCTCCTTAACCTTGGGAGGAAACAGACCCATGACTCATACTCTAGAAGAGATTGAGATTAAAAGCTCCTTTGTTCCCTGCTGAGCTGAGCCAGTGGCACATCTGTCACGTTCTGCCCATCGGGGCTGCTGCAAAATTGGCTGCTCCTCCGAGCCGGCTTCTAGCCTCCAAAGTGTAACTGCACACGTGCTGCTACGGCCAGACCAACAGGTCCCTCTAAGCGGAGCAAGAGCCCTGCTGTAGACTGTCACGGCAAGAAAAGAAGCTGGACGTGGCTGCCGCTGACCTCAGCAGCTGCTGGGTTCAGGGAAAACAACTGACAGTCGATACAGGGGAGAGTCCACAGGGTCAGAAAAGCCAGCACTGAAGACAGTTGAACAAACAGAGGCCTAACGGAGCGGCCTACTCACATTCCTTAGTTGCAGTGAACAGCGTGACAGGCTGGGGGGGACGGGGCTGTGCTGAACAGAGGAGCAGGAAACTGGGACCAAAGGAACAGGCAGATGTACAAACAGCATGCTTCTCTAACCCTACCAATAACAGCAGTCTGCCTATCCACATCTGCCCGCATGCATTTTATTTCCTTCATGGACAATTCTTGGGAATGTCCAGACCACTGGCTCCAGGGTAGACAAGCATTACTGAGTCCCATAGAGTTATCAACCTCCAGGTGGAGCCTGGAGTTTTTCCAGAACAGCTACTGAGATCAATTCCCCTGGAGAAAATAGCAGCTGCAATGGGTAGAGTCTATGGAATCACATGCCTCCTGAGTTCCTTCCACTTTTCAAACTCTGCCATTCCCAGGCCCAAGGCCGGCCCCAGCTTATTTTGCACCCTAGGTGGAGATCCCTTCTGGCGCCCCCCCCCCCACCGGCGCGCCCACCAATTTTCAAAAATAAATGCATTTTAGGAAGAATGAAAAACACAAATAATCAAGAAACTCCCAGAGTACAGGGCCGGGTGCAGTTTGGTGCCCCTAAGGGCCGGCCCGCTCTAGGTGATCGCCTAGTCCGCCTAGTAAGTGAGCCGGCCCTGCCCAGGCCCCCCGCCCCCCCAATACCCAGCAGTTTCCCAAACCAGCGTTGGCAATCCTACAACCCCATCACTTGATTTCTGAAAAGGGAAGCCGTGTTAGTCGACTCCAAAAAAAAAAACCCCAAAGAGGGGTCTAGAGGCACTGGCAAGACTAATACAATTTTATTTGTCTTTGCTCAGGAAGGCAGGCTCCAGAGCAAACTAATTTACGCAGTAACCAAATCGCTCGCTCACCACTTTAATGCCAGTCGCTCACAAAGTAGAATTTTTGCTCACAAGACTCCACAGCTTAGAGGGAACATTGGTCTAGAGGCACTGGCAAGACTAATACAATTTTATTCCAGCATAAATTTTCATCCAAAGAACGGGTTTATAAAGCCACTAAAAGTTTATGCCGGAATAAAATGTTGGTAAATTTTTAAGGTGCCGCTAGATTCTGGTTTCTTTCTTAAGCAGTGGCAGGAATGTGGTGCCCTGACCTGGATAGCCCAGGCTAGCCCTATCTCCTCAGATCTTGGAAGCTAAGCAGGGTCAGCCTTGGCTAGTATTTGGAAGGGCAAAGAATGGCAAACCACCTCTGAAACCTCTCGTCTTCAAAACAAGTCTAGCTCACCACCTAGCAGTGTTCCCTCTAAGCTGAGTTTACAACAAATACAAACACAATACCTTTATTGGCATAAAATATCAAATACAACGTGCAGCATAGAGCCTCAAGATGGGCCAGGGGGGTATCACATTCCGAATTGCCTTAATATGAGCCTCTCCTCCTAGATACCTCATAAAAGAAATTTGCTACAGGTTCAAGAATTTCTATATTATGCGAAGACAATAAAGAAATAATTTTATACTCATTAGATTGGCCCAAAAGGGGATCCAACACAGGTTCAGTATAAGCAAGCAACACGGATGTCATAGTGTAATTTACAGTACAAAAGCACATGTCCAATTAAGCTGAGTTAGTGTGAGCTAGCTCACAGCTTTTTAGCCTCCGCCTCACACATTTTTGTCTTAGCTCAGGAGGGATGGCTCCAGAGCGAACTAATTTATGTAGTAGCCAAATGGCCCACTCACAACTTTAATGCCAGTTGCTCACAAAGTAGAATTTTTGCTCACAAGACTCCACAGTTTAGAAAGAACATTGCCACCTAGTGGTGCATAATGGTAAAAAGAGCTAGAACTTCTGTCTGCCAGACAATCTTAGGATCTCCTGGCTACACTACTCACAATGCCAAATGATGATGAGGTATCCATGCCCTCCTTTCTTGCTAGAGGCAACAGCAAACCCGCTCTCTATACAGTCACCACCAATTCTGCTGTATTCAAATGACTGGGCTCGATCATTCTTCACAGAGCTGGTCTGCCACACATTAATCTGCCAAAGATGGCAGATTTTGGGAAGCAACAACCTGTCCACATGAATCTCACATTGTTTGTCCCCCCACCTAATTGGGAGCCTCACCTGAGAGCTGGAGATAATTCTCTTTCCTCCTGGCAAGCTGTGCCTGCTGTTCTCAGACTCTGGTGAGATGCCTGCTTCTTGTGTTGGGGCCACCATTTCTAGTTGTCTGTTGCCAGGGCAACTAAAATGGTGGCTGAACTCTTGCTCAAGGAAGTTACCTCATGAGAGTTCAGAAAGCCCTAGGACATGCACAGCTCGCTGAGCTTTTTTTAAAAGGCTAAAGCAGCAGAAAGGTCTCCTCTGAAGTAGGGGACACTGAGGAAAGTGGGAACAACAGCCACTATTGCCTCAGGCAGTGAAAGATCTTGAGCCTCTACTGTGCATCAGAGCTATATAATTTTTGATTTCACTGAATCATCCTTAGCCTAGCAGCCCTAATCTGCCTGCACTAGACAGCCACAGCAGGCAGGCAAAGAGGCTTGCTCAGGCCCTAATGGGCCACCATACTTCACAAGTGGGCTATAATTATCAGTCACCACAATCTGCAGAGCTCAGGTCACAAGAAGTTGCAAACTTGTGGTTCTCCTCCTGTCCCCTAGGGGAAGAACAAAATGGCTCCTCTACAATGCCAAACAAATGCTAATTGTACGCATTGCAATTGTAACAGCTTTAGCTAAACTTCAAATGTTATATTGTATTTGTATTCTTGCTACATCCCCCCCCAGTAGCAGGCCTGTCCTATAACCTATGTCAAAACCTGACCTTATAGTAATATCCAGTAGAAATTTACTAGTCAGGGATCTGGCACACACTATAGATGGGAGGGAGGCGAAGGGAAATAGGGTCACAAGTCTGCCTCACACAGACAAGGGGGAGGACTCCCTGTGACTCTAAGTATAGAGACCAATAAGCCCTCAAAAGAGCATCCACTCTTCATTCACACATCTACCTTCATTCACACATCTATCACTGCCCCAGAAAAAACAGCAGAGACAAAAGGAGAAAAAGAACCCCTGTGCTCTAAAATTATAGTCTGCTGTATGTAAGCACTCGCCTACTAGACCAGACCAGTTTCACTCTCTGGCCTAGCATTACAAAAGCTAGTTGGACTGCAAGTCCCCCATAGCAGTCACATGTCAAATGTAACGTCCTCTTCAAATCTTAAGATGCTCACAAGCAGGGAATGGAGGCAACAGTCCTTATCCCCACCTGACATTTGTCCTCATTATCTACTAACGCAAAGGTATACTGCCTCTGAACAAGGAGGTTCAGTTTAGAGTATGGCTAATACTACTATCAGTCAATGTCATCTTGCCCCTTTTGCTACCCATGCTGTTTCCTCTACAACCACTACATGTACAACTATATTCTTTGCTTATGCCCAGTATGGACTGAATAGAATCACAGAGTTGGAAGGGGCCCTACAGGCCACCGGGTCCAACCGCCCGCTCAGTGCAGGATCAGCCTAGACTAGCATCCCTGACAAGTCTTTGTCCAGCTGTTGCTTAAAGACTGCCACAGTGAGGGGGAGCTCACCACCTCCCTAGGCAGCTGATTTCATTGTTGCACGACTCTGACTGTAAAAAAGTTTTTTCCTAATATCCACCTGGTACCTTCCCGCCCTTAATTTAAACCCATTATTGCGAGTCCTCTCCTCTGCTGCCAACAGCAGGAACAGCTCCCTGCCCTCCTTTAAGTGGCAGCCCTTCAAATGCTTAAAGAGAGCAATTATGTCCCATCCCCCCCCCACAAACTCCTCTTCTCCAGATTCAACATTCCCAAGTCCCTCAGCCTTTCCTCATAGGACTTGCTCTCCAGGCCCCCGATCATCCCTGTCCCTCTCCTCTGCATGCACTCCATTCTGTCCCCATCCTTTTTGAAGTGAGGCCTCCAGAACGGCACACAATGCTCCAGGTGCGGCCTGACCAATGCAGTGTTCAGCGGGACTATCAAACCTTGCGATCTGGATGTTATGCCTCTGTTGATACACCCCAAGACCGCATTAGCCTTCACTACTGCCATTAGTCTGGTTCCCAGATCCAATTGCTATATCACCTCTGGAGACGTCTTAGCTTCGTAGTGGTGTGTAACGGTTGCAAGAAGCTTAAGAGTCCAAAAGGCAGGGGCCTTCTCCATCCCTCACCCTCCAGGTGGCTGCCAAAATATGAGTTTCACCAGTTCCTAGATTCATGGATGAAGAAATTGTTCAAGAATTATACATTTCACATAGATCATTTCTGGAAACAAGACATGGGCTTCCTTGGCTGAGAGTTTAGATTCTGATGAAGGGGGCGTAGAGAATGACTAGTCTTCAAAGCAAGCAGTGGGTATTTTGTTTTGATTTTTAGAAACAACTCCAGAGGACGACTACGGGCAATAACATTGGGCTTTATTATAAGCTGAGCAGCTCAGCGGCAGGACGGTGGAAAGGGGACACATCCTCCCCTTTGGTAAAGGTCAAACAAGGCACCGTGCTGAGGCTTCACAACACAGCAAGCAAGGCAAAGGCTCAGATAACAAACATCTGACTTCCCCATCACAGCTACAGGATACCAACTCTGGGTCCCTACAAAGTGACTACAAACAGATTGAGCGCGCTTCGTTTACACAGCGAGTAGCAGGCGGGGTTCACAGTTTGGGGGAAAAGAGGAAACTGAGTGGGGGGGCCCAGCCACCCACGGCTCAGACCGGTAAGCTGAAGGGTGGCTCACGACAGCCTGACTTGGTAGGTTACAAAGTTCAGCTTAAATGCAACGGTCCTGCAGTCAGACAGCAGAGGAGGTTCTAATATCTTCCGACTGTGCTCACAGCCGAGCACAGAGTTCCAATTTTGACCTGTGAGCTGGAGGAGTCGCCCGTCTGCATGCAGAAAACTAGAGGAAAAGGCTACATTAAGACCAGGGTGCTAGTTTTCCATGGAGAGCATGCATATTCCTGTGGGACTTCTCCAAGTTGAAATGGTATGGTCCCCTAAGACTCTCCCACAGGCTTCTTCTGATTGTATATTCCAGTTCTTAAGGAGCACACGTTTTGCCCCCAGCCATGGGAATGGTGGTAGTGGTGGTGCGTGATTGTTCCGGAGGTTAAACAGATATAAGGCACATCCAGAAAATGACTGTAAGAGGAAACAAAAGCACATCCTGTGTCCGTGTCTGCCTCGGCGATACACACTTACCAGAATTTCCCTCCTGCAGCAACCACCCTCCAGTCCACAACACAAGAAAGACAATGTGGCATAGGCTTTTTGCATACTTCCGCTTTGCTGATTTCCTGCACTTCCGGGTTTATGTTCAGGGAAGCCTCTGTAAACACACACTCCTTAAAAAGAGATCTTACTGGGGGGGGAAAGGGAACAGAAACAAGGGCAAGAAAGTCTCTCTCTCTTTTGTTTTGGCCAAGTGGAGCATCTTAGTGGGGCATAGCACCCGGAATTTATGGCACAAAAGGGGTTGGATTGGCATGGAAGTGTGCACATGGAAAACCATAGGTGGTTTGATGTGGATCTACTTACAGAAGTCCTTGCCCACCTTTTTTCAGTTCTGAAAAACTGCTCCTCCCCCCCCTTAAATTTCTTCGCACATTGGGAGAACCCACCCTCCAAACAAACAAAAAACCCCGACAACAACCCAGCATCAGATCTCAGCAGTAACAAATCTTTGTAGCAAGCAATCCAGCAACCAACTTCAAAGAACGAGCTTCCAGTTTTCACCATCACCTAAACTACATTCCTATTGCCTTCCCAAGAATTCTGGAAGTGGACCCTTTCTTAAATCCTCAGAGAGATGCAAACTTTTAGGAAGTGTACTGTGTCCAGCAGTGTCCAGCCAAACAAAGCAAGAACGGGACTTAACTGAGTGAAACATGATTATGCATTGTGGTGGACTTAGCGGGAATGGGATCAACACGACCATGCTTTACTAGATGCAGTGGGTGCTGGGATACTCTTAAGGTACACACTGGGGTGTCGCAGGGACACAATGGGTGCACGAGACCTCAGCAGTGTTGAGGAGTGTTGGCCAGCATGCAACAATTCTGTCCATAAAGGTCTGGCAATCTTTGGGGGGTGGGTGGCTCTCTTGATGGGGAAGATCTCTATATATGCACACAGAATAGGATCATAGGAGTTCATGCTCATGAAGGATCCCACCCACACACCCCAGATCTTCAGCATTTAGTTCATTCGTCCCGGCTTCTTCTGGTTTATCTGCTGGCGAGACAAAAACAAAACACCAGATCAAGGCCATCAGTCCCAAGAATACACATTGAACAGTCATATGCACAGTTTTTCAGTGTGGTACGGAGAAGGGGAGAAAGATGAGGGATAGGGGGAAAGGGTTTCTAGAGCCTTTGATAGTCAATGGAATGTGGTTCTCCATCTCCTTGGGCTAGCCAAATAACCTTTCCTGCCTGCAGTTACGCCTTGCTGCAGTTGACTTATACTGGTTGCAGTGGTGATGTTCCCTCTAAGCTGTTAGTATGAGCTAGCTCACAGTTTTATAGCCTCCTGCTCACAGATTTTTGTCTTAGCTCAGGAAGGATGGCTCCAGAACAAACTAATTTATGCAGTAGCCAAATTGCTCGCTCACAACTTTAGCTCACAACTTTAGCTCACAAAGTAGAATTTTTGCTCAAGACTCCACAGCTTAGAGGGAGCATTGTGAATCCAACTACTGACAGACCTCTGGGTGGAGATGCGAAGGTCGGGGGGGGGACCCAAAGTATTCAGGAAAATAATTTTTTTTGAGGATTTAAAAAAAAGTGATGGAAAAATAAGGAAATACTTGGGAGGGAAATGAAAAAAAAATGTATGAAATATTTTCTCAGTTGGAATGAGTGGAATCCCTTTTTTCAGACAAGCCTTTGTTCATTTAAAATGTGTAGGATAAAAATAATTATGCAAGACATTCTATAGCATTCGATAATGATACTCTCTATGTATGATGCAGACTCGTGCTAAAGTACAGCAGTTTGCTGCTCACTTCCTTTGTAATACTGGGTATATCTGTAATTACACTTCTAAACAAAGACATTAATACTTAGAAATACTACAAATACACCAGATTTTATGTGTCTACTCTTAAATGAGGCATGTATAGTGTTAAAGCAGTAAAACAAATTTTGGTTTGATAGGAAAGCAAGTTCTGCATATATTCCAATATCCCCCCAAATCCCTGTTTCCCCCCCCCTAAAGAAAAGCAACTGGAGAGAAAAAACCTCCAAAATTTTCCCTCATGGCTTCAATACGTCTGGAAATAAACATCTCTATCTCTGGGTCCCATCTATCCCCCCTGATTTGTTAATACTGGAGCTAAATTCTGGGGATGAGTGGAGTAAATGAAGGCTTTGGACACAGGCGCGCTCACAGAACATAATTCTACTGATCAAAAACACTGTTTTAATCATTCTTGCAGCAACCAGTATTTAATAATGAAGGGAGGGGAATATGAAAGAGCTTTGTACAATGATGGATGGTGTAGACAAAGTGGATGCAGAGAACTTGCTTCACCCTCTCATTTGTTAGCTGCCCTGAGTCACTAGGTAGGGCGGGATAGAAATCCCAAAATAAATAAATAAATAAATAAATAAAGGGTTACGGACTGTGATTTATATCATGGTGCATCAATAATACTGCCTGTTTCTGTAAGCAGAATTTTGCAATAGTTTTTAGTTTTTAAATGTTGTTATCTAAAACATTTATGTGCCACCTTTCCTCTTTATAGGAACTCAAGGCGGGTTCCATGTAAATAATAATAAAATATCATAAAGTACATTGTTTAACATGTTATGTTAATGCCTACACTTTGTTTCAACTCTGTTTTCAGATTTCTTGGTCGGTTCTGGATTTTTACAATCCAGATCCTATGACAGCATAGACAACACTGTGTGATCCACTTTGAGTCCCAGTGAGAAAGGTGGACTATAAATAAATAAACAAAAAAATAATATCCCAACTTGGGAACACCCAATGAAGTCAGGGAAGACAGAGGAAAAAAGTCTTCACACCACACCAAATTACTTTTCTGAGGAACTCACTCCCACAGGGTGTAGCGATGGATTTTAAACGGGATCAGACAGGATAGATCCATCAGTGGCTACTAGCCATGCTGGTTCAAGGGAATGTCCATGTTCTGAGGCAGTATCCTGCTAAATAAGAGATACCCATTTATGGGGAGCAACAAAAAGAGGACGGGATTTGGCCTCTGTGCCCGTTTGCAGGCTCCTCAGAGGTATCTGGTTGGCTGCTGTGGAAAACACAATGCTGGACGAGAGGGACCGCTGGTCCGATCCAGGAAAGCTCCTTTTTTGTGTTCTTATCCTCATATTGTGTGCACGAGCAGATCTACAGACAGATGCATGTATGTGATGGAGGCCACCTAGTGGATGCAAGACTGAAACAAAATCTAGACCAAGGATTTCTCCCTATAGCCTCTCTTTATTAGCAGGACACTTCTGGATGCAGTGGAAGGAAGTGGGTTTGCTGTTCAACACCTCCTTGAAGCGTCCCTTTGATTATTAGCCTATTCTTGACAACCTGGGCTCTAGGCAAATGTATTTTTTCCTCAGAGAATCCAGCTAATTTGCCTGGTACCTGAGAGATGCTAATGCCGGTGAGTTTCTCAACGGTGTCGGGCAGTCTGTTCATGATTTCTAGGACCTCCCCCGTGATCTTGGCAGCTCCCACATCTCCAGTCCCACTGGACACCATCGTGATCTTCTTCACCGCGGTCAAGGGCTTGCTGATCTCTTCGGCCATCTGCAAGAGAAATACACACACATAAAGGGGAGGGTGGGGGGAGAACAAGCACCAAGTGGTTATATCCTAGGTGCTTGAATTTTGCAAAGAAGTCAGGCCTTTGCTCAGAATCACCCAAGCTGCTACTTCTCAGCTACAGCTTTTTTTTTTTTTTGCAAATGCTTCCAGTGAGTTTTGAAATAGCCATATGCAGAGTTTGCAAAAGCTTTATCATACAGGAGGTGGAGTTTGTGATCCTCTAAGCCTCGTTCACGTAGCCTTGAGCAACTTTTGTCTAACCCAGTGATCACCAACATGGTCCCCATGGCCCCTACTACTGTGTGCCAGGACGCCCATTTGCTTCTTCAGCAAACATCTCTTCCACAATGCAAAGAGCCAGCCCTGGCTTTCCTCCACCTCACTGGAGCAGGAGGAGGAGAAGAAGGAAGAGGAGGAGGAGCTTGGATTTATACCCCACCCTTCACAACCCGAAGGAGTCTCAGAGCAGCTTCCAATCTCCTTTCCCTTCCCCTCCCCACCACAGACACCCTGTGAGGAAGGTGGGGTTGAGAGAGCTCTCTCGAGAATGGCCCTTGAGAGAACAGCTCTGAGAGAACTTGTGACTGAACCAAGGTCACACCAGCAGCTGCATGTGGAGGAGTAGGGAATCAAACCCAGTTCTCCCAGATTAGAGTCCACGCTCTTAACCGCTACACCAAACTGGCTCTGCGGGGAACACTGATTTGGAAATAGCGGCTTCCATCATAAGAATGTGAACAGAAAAAAGATCAGTAATAACGGTATCTAACGAAAGATTGATGGATTGACTAATAAATTGACTCCCCAAAGGAAGCCACAGCCCTCAGTTTGCAAGACCCAAGCAAGGCTGTTAATGGCAGGACATTTTGGAGGTCATTAATTAATAGGGTTGCCATAAGTTGGAAGCAACTCGACACTTCACACACACACACACACACACACACACACACACACACACACGAAAAGACTAAACCAGGTCCCAAGAACACATTTGCCCTGCTTTAAAAAAGAAAAAAATCCGAGTGCTATAATTTTCTGGAGATACAAGCACTACAGGCTCCAAAATTACATTTTTTTGCTCTAAAAGGGGGAAACCATGCTGGTGCTAACCTCTGGAATCTTCTCCAGGAGCATGTCCACCATGGCTGCCTCTTGGTACTGCTGAAAGGCCTCTGCCTTCTTGGCCATCTGCTCAGCGTCAGCCCGGGCTTTGGCCTCGATAGCGTAGGCCCGAGCCTCACCCTTCACCTAGGGGAAGGAGATTGGGATTGAAAAGGAGAATGACTTTATTAATTTACTTTATACGTGGCCTGTCTTTCTCTCCGCCACAGAGATGAACTCACCCTGACAGACTCTGCCTCAGCCTCGGCCTGCATGATCAGCTGGGACCTGCCAGAGAAACACAAACAGGCGGGTGACCACTTTCCCGTGTCCTGCTCCTGACACTTAATAGGGTGATAGCAGGAGAAAGAGGAGGGACTGTGGCACTCGAACGACAAAATGCTGCCTGTGGTATGTAAGAGATGACATGGGGAGAAGAGTGCAGATACTAGAGGTCACACATGAAGCTGCCTTTTACTGAATCAGACCACTGGTCCATCAAGGTCGGTATTGTCTACTCTGACCGGCAGCAGCTCTCCAGGCTCTCAGGCAGAGGTCTTTTCACATCATCTCCTACCTGATCCATTTTAACTCGAGATGCCAGGAATTGAACCTGCGACCTTCTGCGTGCCAAGCAGATGCTCTGCCACTGAGCTACAGCCCCTCCCAGATATAAGTTGAGGCCCCGTGAACTAGAGAATATTGCTATATCCTCTAGTTTTTTCCTTTCTGACTGAGACAGAGTAGATTCACTCCTGAGAATTAAAAAAAAGGGGGGGGGGAGAGGAGAAAACGAAGATCTGAGCCTCTCAGCTGTATGTGAGTGGGACACAGGGGGAAAAGCTGAGCCACAGAAGCCAAGGGAAAACCCTTGGGGCCCCCAGTTCAAGGCACCTTAAGGCCAAGATCGATCTGCAGAGAACAAAAGGGTGAAAGAGGGATTTTCCATGAGGGCATACGGTAACATGGTGAAAAGCTCAGACTTCAAGGTGGTGTGTGTGAGATAGAAATCAAGTAACTGAACGCTGCCCCAGGTGAAAAATAAAATCCCTGTACATAAAAAATATAAAAATACTACACTTACAACAGCAAGGATAACTTGTAATACTGTACAATGCAAAGATTTTATTGTTCTGTGAAGGATATGCAGCTATTTAGTTCCCCATCACCACCCTAGCAGCCTGAAACAATCTAGCAACGGACCTATCACTTGAGACAACTTCTTTGTTTTGGCTGCCAACAGTAAAAGCCCTGACGTGAGGGAAGATGGCCAGGTCTGTCTTTACCTTTCAGCTTCGGCCAGTTTCTCCAGCCGGAAGCGCTCAGCTTCGGCAGGTTTTTTGACCTTGGACTCCAGTTCCCGCTCCTTGCAGATGATCTCTTGCTCCTGGATCTGAATCTGCTGGGTCCGCTCCACCACCATCACTTGCATCTTCTGCTCCTCGATCTTCTGCTTCGTCTTGGCTACCTACGGAGCGTGGAAGACACAGGGAAGAGCTCAGCGGCTGCCCGACTGAACCGGGGGTCAGAGGTCAAAGATGGAACTGAGGAGGGCTGATGCAATGCAGAAACCTGAAACTCACAATAGTTGCATTTGCAACTGCTTGATGCTTTGTTAGCTGCCTTGAGTCCAATAAGCTACGGCAGGATATAAATACTTTAAAGAAACAAACTTTGGATCTACACGGACAGCCAATATACCAGGTAATCAAAACAAGAAAACAATGCATGTGCCCAAATTTAACATCAATAATCAATGAATTTAATAGTCATAAGACATATAAAGTAGAACAAATTTTCCATGGTCAGGTAGAAATTCACTGGTGAAGTTGAATTGCAGGTAGAAATTCACAGGTGGAGTTTCTACCTGCAATTCAACTTCACCAGTGAATTTCTACCTGCTCATGGAAAATTTGTTCTACTTTATATGTCTTATGACTATTAAATTCATTGATTGTTGATGTTAAATTTGGGCACATGCATTGTTTTGATATATTGCTGTGCCACTGCCTTTCATCTAATATACCAGGTAATAACATACCACAATGTACACGCAACCACTTATTTATCACATTTTTATCCCACCTTTCCTAACCCTAACCCTTCAGTTCTGCATTTTATCCTCACAGCGATTCTGTAAGGTGGAGGAGGTTGGGATAGCGAGCAACTGGCCTAAGGTCACCCAATTCGCTTCACGACCAAATGGAGATTTGAACTGGGGTCTTCCCACTCCACCCCTACTCCCTACTCTAACTACTACACTGCACTGGCTCTCAGCTGATCGGCTGTAGTGTCTTGCACAAGCAGTGCAGGGAATTTTATCATATTTCTATAATCAGATGGAGAAATCCAGGGGAAACAGAGGAGTGCTGATATTCTCCATACCCCTTCACATTGCCAGCTTATGAAGTGGTTGCTGGCACAGAGTGGCAAGAAACATTTAACAAAATGGTTCTTTGTATTCAGCCTCTGATAAGGTAGATCAGGCATCAGCCAGTGATTTGGTCATGGCGGAAAGATGAGCCAGTGACCAAGAGCAGACACTGCTGCAGAAAAAATGGTGTGGGAGGCCAAGGGGCACTAAGAACGTCTAGCTTTACGTGGCTAAAAGTAGTATCTGAGAATTCAGTGAGCAATACCTCTACATCGCTGATTACTAAGGGCCCTGAACCATGGGATAGTTCCCATTATTTATTTATTTATTATTTATTTATTACTTAAATTCGTAGCCTGCCCTCCCTGCCAAAGGCAGGCTCAGGGCGGCTAACAACATAAAATACATTACAATAAATATATAAAAATCTAAAACAATTCATTAAAACTAACTGACATCATATGAAGTGCTAGCAGATCATTTGTGGTATTTAAAGATGGCATTAAACACTGTATAATTCCAGGCACCAGGTTTCCATTCTCTCGATCAGGGGTGTCGAACTCATTTGTTGTGAGGGCCAGATCTGACATAAATGAGACCTTGCTGGGCCAGGCCATGTGTGTCATAAAATGTAATGCCAGGTAGCGGAGATATAAACTTTATAAATGACACAAACACAAAGAGGTTTTTTTAACTTAAAATAAAAACATGCTTAAAACATTAGCATTCTTGCAATATTTTGTTTATTTAACAGTGTCTGATAACTGACACCTCTTGCTTTGAATTATTGCATCAAAATGTCTGTGCTGTTGCAGTCTTGAGTATGCTGTTCAGGTGTGTTATCTGTAAGCTGCAAACCTGCGATGACGCAGCAGCAGCAGAACTGGAAGAAGAAACAGAAGAGAGCCAGTTCTACTGCAGGCCTGATAGAAGCCCTCCGGGGGCCTCATTTGGCCCCCAGGCCGCATGTTTGACACCTCTGCTCTAGATTATTACAATTGATGTTGCGATATTAGTACTAACTACAATGGTAATGGTGATAAGAATAATGGTAGTGGTGGTGGCTCCTAATTGAAAGCCTGGTGGAAGAGCTCCGTCTTGCAGGCCCTGCGGAACTGTAAAAGGGCCCTGATCTCCTCCGGGAGCTCATTCCACCAGTATGGAGCCACCACCAAGAGAGCTCTGGCCCTGGTTACACCTAACTTAGCATCCTTGGGACCTGGAAGGGCCAATCGGTTCTGTGACCCTGACCAAAGTGCTCTCTGGGGTATATATGGGGAAAGGCGGTCCCTCAGGTATGTCGGACCCTGGCCGTAAAGGGCTTTAAAGGTAAGAACCAGCACTCTGAAGCGAATCCGGTATGCTATTGGCAGCCAGTGCAATGCCTTCAAGGCAGGCTGGATGTGTTCCCTCATGGGGAGATCCATCACAAGCCTAGCAGCTGCATTTTGCACTAGCTGCAGCTTCCAGATTTGCGTCAAGGGCAGCCCCAAGTAGAGAGCGTTACAGTAGTCTAATCTCGAGGCGACCATTGCATGGATCACTGTAGAAAGGTCATTGTGTTCAAGGAAGGAACCAACTGCCTAATCAGCCGAAGATGGTAAAAGGCCAACCTGGCAGTGACTGCTACCTGGGCCTCCATTGTTAAGGAGGCATCCAGGAACACTCCCAAGCTCCTTCCCTCCGGCGCTGGCACCAATGGCGCCCCATCGAAGGACGGGAGTGGGATCCCTACCCTCGGTCCACCTCGACTCAGGCACAGAACCTCTGTCTTCGTTGGATTCAATTTAAGTCGGCTCAGTCTAAGCCAACCAGCCACGGCCTGTAACACCCGGTCTAGATCGTCTGGTTGAGAGCCAGAGCTGCCGCCCAACATCAGACAGAGCTGGGTGTCATCTGCATACGGTGACATCCCAGCCCATGGCTCCGGGCAATCTGGGCAAGGGGGCGCATGTAGATATTAAATAACATTGGGGACAGCACCGCCCCTTGAGGCACTCCACACTCAAGTGGGTACCTCTAGGAGAGCTGTTCCCCTATTGCCACCCTTTGGCTCCGACTATGGAGAAAGGAGGCAAGCCATTGAAAGGCGAGCCCCTGTACTCCTATGTCGACAAGGTGGTGGACCAGTAACTGGTGGTTGACCGTGTCGAACGCCGCTGACAGGTCTGACAACAGTACTCCTGATCCGCCCCGATCCCGATGCCTCTAAAGATCATCTGTGAGGGCGACCAAGTGCTGTCTCCGTCCCATGTCCCGGGTGAAAACCGGACTGGAAGGGATCTAAAATGGAAGAGTCATCCAAAAAGCTCTGTAGCTGCATTGCCACCACCCTCTCTATCATTTTGCCCAAATAGGGCAAATTAGACACTGGCCAGTAATTAGCCAATTTGACCGGGTCTAGAGATGGTTTCTTCAAGAGAGGACGCACCACAGTCTACTTGAGCGCCCCAGGAAACAGTCTGTTGATGAGGGACTTGTTGATAATATTCCTTAGGGCGCCACCCAACCCCTCACGGCTAGCTTTAATTAGCCACAACAGGCACGGGTCCAGGCAGCATGTGGTGGGGCGTACCACCAAGAGCAATTTGTTGACTTCCTCAAGGTCCATAACCTGACTAGAAGACGTGCTTGGATCCTCGAGTTCACTAACTGTATCAACCGTGGCAGGAAGGTCGCAGCGGAGCGACAAGACTATATCAGCAAAATAGCTCACAAAAGCCTCACAATACCCAATTCCAGAAACCAGAGTATTCAATACCCAATTCTCTAGAATTTGGTCTGCCCTGTGGCAGAACAGTTAAAGACCGAATTGTTCTAAATAACTGGGCCAGGCGTGAGCTCGCAGATGCGATCATGGCCGCATAGTATTCTCTCTTTGCAGCTTTGATCGCCATATCATAGGATCTCATAAACATCCTATAAGATGCTCTTGTAGCTTCATCACGAGCACACCGCCACCGTCTCTCTAGCTGTCTTAGCCTGTGTTTCATAAGCTGCAACTCCTGGGTGAACCCAGGAGCAAGCCTAGAACGAAGGCGCAGAGGGCGCCGGGGAGCGATCTCGTCGATGGCAGCAGAGAGCCAGCTATGCCAGTCCCCTACAAGTTCATCCAACGGACCACCAGAGGGCATTGGATCCTGCAAAGCTGCCTGAAACCGCACTGGGTCCATTCAGCTCTACGGGCGAGCTAAAATATGCTCGCCACCTAAACAGGGTTGGGGTAGAACATTCAGACAGGCCCTCAGGGCATGTTGGTCTGATCATGGTACTGCTGAAGCAGTAATCCGGTCCACTGTTACCCCAGCTGCGAAGATCAAATCGAGCGTGTGTCCAGCCCGGTGAGTGGGGGTCGTTACAAATTGGGAGAGTCCCAGCGCCACCATGGACAACACTAGGTCTGCTGCCTGAATGGAAGCCACATCATTGGCATGGACTATTAGCCTAAGGTGTTCCAACACCTAGCCTGATACGGCCTCCATCAGGGACGACAGGCTATTGGCTGGTGCGTTAGACGGTCGGTACACCAGCCAAATCACCACTCTCTCCTCGGCCTCCCACACCAGGCCGACACACTCAATGCCTGTGATCTCCAACAATGGGAGCGCCCTGAAGGAGTAAGCCTCCTGAATGAAAATAGCCACTCCTCCCCCCTGCCCGCTAGTCCACGATTGGTGTAGGACCGAGAACCCAGGAGGGGCAAGCTGAAAGAGAGCTACAGTCTCCCCATCTGCATCCAGGTCACGGTCACGCACGCCAGGTCTCCCTTCTGCTCCAGCAGGAAGTCCCGCAGGACTGGGGTCTTTTTATAGACCTGGTGTTGCACAGCACCAATGTCGGAGGGGGGTTAACCATCCTAGTCCCACTGCCAACATCCTTCGGGATGGGTCACAGGCTGGAAGGGCACCGAGCCATTCTGTTTCTCCGCTCCCTTCCCTTAACTCTCGGCCTGGACCCACTGCTATACTTTCCCCTCCCCAGGAGCACCGGAATCCTTTGCCCAAGCATCACCTCGCCTAACAGTCTTCGCGGTAGCCTCCGACCACTGGTGGAACTGATGAAATGCCCCCCATTGTAGGACGTCTGCCCAGTTATTTTTTCCAACTGCAATCTCCAAAATCGCACAGAATTTTTTCATTGGCCAGGCTTAATGTTTTACCCTCGGCAATTTTATTTGGAAGATTCCAGGGAATTCCCTATGCCAATAGATTTTGCCCTTGTACAGGTAAAACTATCGAAACAGTGTACCATGTGCTGTTTGAATGTTGTTATTATTCTGGTATTAGGCAACGTATTTTATCACCAATTTTGGGTAGTGTTTCAGGTTTTCCTAGGCTGAACAAACTATCATTTTTGTTAAATGGCACTGGGGAAAACATAATTGAACCGGTGTCAAAGTTCTTACTGGCTGCTGCTTTTATAACACAGTAAAATTTTGTAAATGCTCAATGCAGGGTACTTTTAATGGAAATTGTATCCTATCCAGAAACTGAATTTTACTTCTTAGACATTATGCTGTTACTTCTATGAATTGCCATTAAAGGAACTGTTTGTGTGTGATTACTAAGGGGTATTTCATAGATTACAAAGATTCTTTTACGCAAGGCACTCCCCATGTATTTATGACATCTGCTTATTCCACCCTTCCTCCAAAGAGCTTGAGGTAATGTAAATGGCTTTCTCTTTTTACAACCACAAGCTTGTGGTGCAGATTAGGGCAAGAAGCATGTCAGATTGCACTCTGGTGGGGCTTCAGCTCATGGGCAGGGCACAGAGTTTGCTGTTCAGCCCCAAGCACACGAAGAGTCCTTTATGTGAAAAGGGTGCTCCATACCAGGAAAGAAGGCCCATCTCACATATTGCCCATGTGACGGGCCCTCTATGGCTCGGTTCAGACATCATGCCAAATTGTGGTTTATTTGAGCAATGGGTGAAGTCTGGACTCAACTTGCCATTACTCCCACATTTTCATTTGCTTCAACAGATGCTCTGGCCAAGCTACTTTGTAGCTGGGGAATGTGTGAAAGCGGCATCAAGGAACTAAGATATCCACATTTACAGAAGCTAAAAACCCTTCACATTTGATGGACCCCGCTAACCATGGTTAGCTGTGTGGTCTGCATTCAGATGGCCATGCTAATTTGGTAGTGTAGTATATGCTGCGGATTAAACCATGGATTCCAAATACGCCCGACCATGAATTTATCTACACTGCAGCCCAATTCCTTCAACCCAAATTAAATCAAAACAATAACCTCACAGATGTTTTGCTTTGGTGGATCTCTGCATGTTTCTGAAGCAGCCACCGAGAATACCTTTTCTATGCACCTGGACAGGCAGGCATCTGAGCATACCTTGCACTTAGCACCCACCACTCCCCTGAAGTTGCCTCACCTGGAGTTGATATGCCAAGTCAGATTCAGCTTTCCTTGTGTTCACCTCGATATCATAGGTGGCTTTTTTCAGCTCGTAATCCCGCTGGGCCTTGGCCATTTCAATTTCGCTCAGGTACTGAGCAGACAACTTCTCTTGCTTGGCCTTAGCTTCCTATGGGCGGAGAAGGAGAACACAGGCTTTCCATATGTAGGGTCTTGGGTTCAATCTGAAATGGCAGGGCTGGGAAAGACCTCCAGTTAAGTCCCAAGAAAGTTGTTGTGAGTCAGAGTAGACTTTTACATACAGAATAAGGTAGCCTTTTCTTTGTTTGTACTGGGCATTGCTCTAATAATGGGTTCTTGTGCATTAATGTAATTTGTGGTGTATCAGGTGTCATTGCAGCGGAGAACACCACACACCATTCCTTTAAAAAACCCTACATCATCTATAATTACATTCTAGCTGTCTGTGTGTACATCTTTTTGTCCACTATCTCCCCCTGTACCATTTCACTACCCCTAGTAAGAGAAGAACTGGCAGCAGAAAACTGATTATCTTCCAAATTCAAGATTTCCCCAAAGAACAGCAGTAAGGCTCCCCAAATGCAGAGTAAAAGACATTTTGACTTCACCGACCAGCAGACCAATCACCTTTTCTCTGCCCTCTCCACTACTTGCATGTTTCAACATTCTAAGCCCCAACTCGCTTCTGCTGGAATTTTCAAGCCTATTGAAAGAAACTAAAGCTTTGGATGAGTGGTCTTCTTGTGGGGAAAATGTATATAACACTGGAGGAGCTATTCTTCCTCAAAGCCTGCTGGGAAGTGAGGGCATTCACCCACTGAATCAGACACAGCCTAAACTGATACCTAAGTTCTCACTATCTGAACGTGCCAAAGGCCTTAAGTAAAGGTAAAGGTTCCCTTGCTTGAAAGCCAGTCAAATCTGACTCTAGGGTTGTGGTGCTCATCTCTGTTTCCAAGCCAAAGAGCCAGCGCTGTCCAAAGACGTTTCCGTGGTCATGTGGCTGGCATGACTAGATGCCAAGGCGCACGGAACGCTGTTACCTTCCCACCAAAGTGGTACCTATTTATCTAGTTGCAATTTCTTGCTTTCGAACTGCTAGGTTGGCAGGAGCTGGAACCAGAGACGGGCGCTCAATCCATCATGCGGCACTCGGGTCTCGAACTGCTGAACTACTGACGTTCCAGCCTGCAGTTCAGTATCTTAACCCCTTGAGCCACCGCAGCTCCTCAAAGGCCTTAACTTGGTCCAAAAAAAGACCCATGCTCCCTTCAGACCATGGAGCTAGAACTCACCTTGATGCCAGCATCTCTCTTGGCTTCAGCTTCTCCAATCCGGGCATCCTTCTGAACCTGGGCAGTTCGGGCTTTCCCCAGAGAGTGAAGATAATCCTTCAATTGAGAGAGGAATTATGGTCAGAGGAGCTGTCATGACCCCCCTGTGGTTTGCCACCTTCGTCTGCCACCACTCTGGACTTAGGGTCCCCTGGGAAGGCCCAGAGCATCTCCCAAGCCCAACCAAAACGCCCCTTTATAGCCGAGAAATATAGGCATGATGACCAGGCAGAGAACATTAAACAAATGGTTTATTAATACAGTAATGGGGCAAGGCAAACAAGACAAGGTGCTTAATATATCTAACAGTGTCTAAAGGTAAAATAAAACAAATCTAACGTGACTACCTATTACACTTAACTGGTTACCATTCAAGGCCCACAGCCTCTTATACCAGGCCTGTGCCTGTACTCACTCTGTCCCAAGAGAGGGATCTTTCCCTCAGACCAGACTGTCCCCTCAGTTTTCAAGTCTGTGAGAGACAAGACCGCAGAAGAGAAAGAACAGAGTTTTACAGCCCTCATAGCTTAAGTCCCAATCTCCTCACACAATCCCTGGACACCCATTGGCTACAACTGTCGCTAAGCATTGTGGGGATTGTAGGCTGTCTGCTTCCCATTCCCACACAGGTCTCTCTTGGACCTGGTCTCCCAGTCCTACACAGATCATGACAGGAGCCCACACATGGTACCAAAGAGAAGGAAGATTCAAAATTCAGCACCAAAGAAAGCTGTTTTTTGCCATTTAACCTGTCTGGAGTCTCTCTTTCCAGATCCAAACATTCCCCGTAGCTTTCTGGCTAGCCTCCCGCTTGGATGACTGTAGCGCAGTCTCTCAAAAATCCCTCAGGCTTCCCTCAGAGACATCCAAGAAGCTGTGGCTGATGCAGAATGACACAGCCCATCTCCCTTTGGGACCAGGTCACAGAGGGCATACTAAAAGGTGGGGTGCTGAATTCTGCACCAGTTATGGTTCCTCATACACTGGCTTCTTACTTGCTACCAGGCTAATTACAGGTATTGACATTGCTCCTTAAATTCTAAATGGCTTGGATTTTTCATACTGGAAATAGCAGCTGATACATAGTCTGGTACCCTATCTTTTACCTCAGGAAAGCAACAATGCCTGTTGTTGCTAATATGCAGTTTGTCAGTTTGCTTCTGGGCCCAAGTCAAGGCTTAAAGTCTGATTTGGCCCGGACCCGCCTACCTTCTCCTGAACATTTTGTTGCATCCTCTGAAGTCAGCAGCGAAGGCTGTGTTCTGGGTCCTTCCTTTGCACCTGAGACTGGCAGGGCACACTGAGCATGGTCTTCCTGGCAGTGGCACCAACCTGGCCAGAGCAGTCCACCATTCCCATTTAGGCTTACTCCTTATACGCTGGCATCATATTATCAGCTTAGCATTTCTTTTCTCTGTCTCCCGGTTTTTCCAGTATTCAGCCTTGGAGATACAAGGGCAGGCCTTCTCTGTTTTTGCCTCCCTTGTCCTATTCTGTACGTGAATTTCAGAAAAAAACCTTTTTCCTGAAAGCACACCGGGGTGGGGGGTGGGGGCAGGAAATCAGCAAGCCTTCTGCAAAGGGAAGTCCTGCCTCACTAACCTTTTGGAGTTCTTTGAGAAAGTGAACAAGCATGTAGACAATGCTAGGCTGGAAAACATTATATACCTGGACTTTCAAAAGGCTTCTGACAAGGTACCCCACCAAAGTCTCCTAAGTAAAATTAGCAGTCATGGGATAAGAAGATGGATTCTCTTATGGACTGAAAACTGTTTAAATGACAGGAAGCAAAGAGTAGGAATCGATGGACAGTTCTCACAATGGAGGGAAGTAAGCAGTGGGGTCCCACAAGGATCAACATTAGGGCCAGTACTATTGAATTTATTCATGAATGACCTGGAAATAGGGGTGAGTTACTGTACTGGCCAAGTTTGCAGATGACACAAAATTATTCAGGATGGTGAAAACCAAGGTTCACTGTGAAGAGCTCCAGGTGGATTCCCACAAACTGGGTGAGTGGGCGGCAATGTGGCAAATGAAGTTCTATGTTGGTAAGTGTAAAGTGGTACACATTGGGACAAGGAATCCCAACTTCAAATATAGGCTTGCGGGATCTGAGCTTGCTGAGACCGAAAGAGAAAAAGATCTCGGGGTCGTAGTGAATAGCTCAATGAAAGTGTCAACCCAGTGTGCTGCAGCGGTGAAAAGGGGATTTTTAAAAGGGATTGAGAATAAAACGGCCGATATTGTAATGCTCCCGTATAGATCTATGGTGGCGGCCTTATTTGGAATACTGTGTACAGGTCTGGTCACCATATCCCCACAGCAAACAACGTAGTACACACTTGCAAGAAGGTTTTACTTTATTGAAGCCATGAAGCACTTGAACAGGGTCACTGTTCAGAATAACGAAAGCTCGGAGAGCTTGAAAGGTTAAAGTAAGTTCATAATCATTACAGCCAATAAACAAGGTTCCCGCGCGCGGCCAAAGGGTTTCTTGCGCGCCTAAACCTTGGTAAAGCAACGGCTACCTTCTTATAAATAAGCATACGATTCTCACAGCCTCTACTAATTAAAGACAAAGCAAAGCTCTCTTGCTCTTCCACCAGTGGCCTTGGCGAGATAGCGTTACATCAAAGCATGACTGGCGTATACTGAAAGGAATGCAGAGCTACTGGGGAGATGTGCGCATGACAAGCTAAGCGCATCTACGGAGGTGGGGGGAAGATGCATAGAGGACCATACAGACAAGAATGAACTTTTGGCAGCTTGCTGACAAAGAAGGACACTGCAGAGCTGCAAAAAGTACAGAGGAGGGCAACCAAGACGACTAGGGGGTTGGAGCACCTTCCCTATGAAGAAAGGCTGAAGCGTTTAGGACTTTTCAGTTTAGAAAAGGGATGACTAAGCGGGGACATGATAGAGGTTTATACGATTATGCATGGGGTGGACAGAGTTGACAAAGAGACATTTTTCTCCCTCCCCCAAAAAACCAGAACTTTAAGGCATCCAATGAAGCTGATGGGCAGTAGGTCCAGGACAGAAAAAGGAAATACTATTTTACACAGAGAGTGAGTAAGTGTTGAATTCACCTAAAGGAAATACTATTTTACACAGAGAGTAAGTGTTGAATTCACCGCCAGAGGATGTTGCGATGGTCACAAGAATAAACAACTTTAGAAGGGGATTAGACAGCCATGGTGACTGAGAGGAACCTCCACATTCAGAGGCCCTGTTTTTGGCAGTCCAGAGGAACTGGTTGGCCGCTGTGTGAGACAGGTTACTGGACTAGATGGATCATTGTTCTGATCCAGCTGGGATCTTCCTATGTTCTTATGATAACTTAATGAGGGCAATGAAACTTTAAGTTTAAGTTTACCCTCTGATATACCAGAGTGGCTGGAAACAAGCCAAACTTCTTACAGGGACCGATGGCCTTAAAACTTGATGCGTCTCTGATACTGTTATAGATTTGATCAAAAGAGCAACAGAAACATAAGATTATCTTCCAGTTCTTATTACCTAATGTTGTGTTTCAGAGTGAAAACACTAGGAATTTCCTTCTGACCAGAAAAACCCACAAAACAGGAGCTGACTGCCTTTTAAATCTGGATATAAGAAAATAAGAGAAGCCAATGTTGGTTCAAGCCAATGGCCCATTCAGTCCAACACTCTGTCACACAGTGGCCAAAAATACCAGGTGCCATCAGGAGGTCCAGCAGTGGGGCCAGGACATTAGAAGCCCTCCCAGTGCTGCCCCCCCCCCCCAGCACCAAGAATACAGAGCATCACTTGTCCCAGCCTGAGAGTCCCTATCTATACCTTGTGGCTAATAGCCACTGATGGACTTCTGCTCCATATGCTTATCCAATTCCCTCTTGAAGCCGTCCATGCTTGTAGCCGCCGCCACCTCCTGTGGCAGTGAATTCCATGTGTGAATCCCTCTTTGGGTGAAGGAGTACTTACTTTTATCTGTTCTAGCCCGACTGCTCAGCAAGTTCATTGAGTGCCCACGAGTTCTTGTATTGTGAGAATGGGAGAAAAGTACTTCTTTCTCGACCTGCTCTATCCCATGCATAATCTTATAAACCTCTATCATGTCACCCCTCAGCCGTCGTTTCTCCAAGCTAAAGAGCCCCAAGCGTTTTAACCTTTCTTCATATACTTCATATTCCCAAAGCTCAACCAAAGGAGAAAATATTCAAGATCGTCTTGCCCTCTAATAATGAGCGACAGCACTTATTTATTAAAGAAGTCCTCAGCCTTCAACTGCCCACCATCTAGAGGATCATCAGGATGGCCTCTTCACTGAAGGTTATTTGATTAACTCGCTAAAACTAAACAAGTAAATTATTTCGTTTCTTAAATCCACCGATCACACCATCAGAAGATGGAATCCACTCCTGGGCCCCTTACCTGATCGTCATGGATGTCTTTGAGGGTGTAGCTGACCACACTGATCCCCATGTTGACCAGATCAGAGGAAGCAACTTTGAAAACCTGCTCCGAGAACTTCTGCCGGTCCTTGTAAATTTCCTGTGGAACAAAGGGAGATTAACAGGGTATGTCAGAGAGAGGAAGAACAGGAAACTCTTACATCAAAAGCATCCAAACCAGCCAGGACTATGCCTCTGATACCAAATTTCCTTGTCTTCTCATGCTCCTGGAATATGGCCTGTTTATTTAAAAGTTCCCAGCTACAAAGGTCTTCTATGGAAGCACCAGCATATGACATACCATAGCAAGCATGGTGCAGTAGTTAAACCTTTAAAACAAGGATTTGGGAGACCCAGGCTCAAATCCCCACCCTGCCATGGAAACTTACTGGGTGACTGTGGGCCAGTCACTCTCTCCCAGCCTAGCCTACTCCACAAGGCTGTTGTTGCGAGGACAAAAGGGAGGATGTTGTAAGCTACTTTAAGGATTCTGGTGGTGGAAAGTGCTGTTAAGTCACAGCCAATTTATGGTGACTCCGTAGGGTTTTCAAGGCAAAAGACAAACAGAGGTGGTTTGCCATTGCCTGCCTCTGTGTAGCAATCCCGGACTTCCCATCCAAATACTATCCAGAGTTGACCCTGCTTAGCGTCTGAGATCTGACAAGATAGGCCTAGCCTGGGACATCGGAGAATAGCAGGGCATAAATATCTAAATAGCCTCTGAAGAACACATCCCTATCCTGGATCTTTTAAAAGAAACAGAATCCAGCCCTGTAAATAAAATGAAACTGTTAGGAAGACCTTTTCTAGGGTGCAGACTAGAGCCACGGACAGAGATAGAACAACACAAAAACCCTCCTCCTCTCCAGCAGGGGGCAGCAAAGACATACAGTAATCATACAGGCAGCCTCACCTCTACTGTCATATGGGCCATGATGGCTCTCTGGTGACCTTCCAGTGTCTCCAGGGCAATCTGGGCAATCTCAGACTCTGTCTTACCCAAGAACATTTGGCAAGCAGCAGACAGCATCTCCTTGTTCTGTCCCTGGATCTTCACCTACATTGGGAGAAGAGAGGACGCTGAGAAAGAGAATGGAGGCCCTTCGTTTCCCACCACCTTCTACATCCCTTCAAGCTTCAGGGGTGCTTCAAACAGGGGATGAGCCCCCTTTAAGAGCTTGCCTTCTCCCTAAGGCGACTACTGCAGGAGGCCATTGCCATGGCAAAGAGCCACAAAGTTTAACCCATTCAGCAAATACAGGATCAAGGTCAGAAGGTGCCATGTTGAGATGGGGGGGGAAGGAGAAACAAAAAGGGGGAGGGGCAGAGCTGAGGCAGGTACCATTTCGTAACTGGAGGCAGGGGGAAGAAACAGAGGACCCAATTTTGGATGGGAGGCAGCACAGAACTCTTATAAATGAAAATAAACTTGAGCTGCAGCTAATATTACTTTGGAAACATTGGGGGTGGGGATAAAAATAGTTGGCATCCTTCACAAGAGAGGGAAAGTAAATGGGCCCAGCTTAGGCTGTACCAGTCTGAGAGCAAAGAAATCTGTGCTTGTTTCCATAAACCCTGCTCTCTTCCCCCAACCCATGGATATTTCCCACACTAACCCTCAATGCATCATTGGGCACCTGTTACCTGGGCGATTCCAGTGACAGAGATGGGGACTCCATGCCGGGTGTAAACCTTTTCACTCTTCACATTGAGTGTCAGAGTATTCAGTGAAATCCTGAGTGGAACGATAAAGACCAGGAGGAGTTAATGAAGAGTTTGTTCATCTCTCTCTCTCTCTCTCTCTCTCTCTCTCTCACACACACACACACACACAATGTCCAAAACCTGAAGTTGGGCTGTTTTCTGAAGTTTAAATGCAAGCATTGTTCTGCAGCTATATCTAATCATTGCTAGAAAGCCATCTTAATATGATCCATTTAATGATGACAAGGTGCATCGATTCCAGTTACCAAGACAGGTAGTTCATAAAGCAAGCATAAATAATTTCATTAAAACCACCGTCATCAAAATTTGCCAGTAGCAAGTCATGTGATTTCCATGAACAAGCAAATGAATTGGTTGCTGTGAGAATTCAAACCTGTTGGTTTGAAAATCGGGTTACTTGAAGAACAAGGCAATATACATGGAAGGGCTTTGAACCCTCTCTTGTTTATTTGCAAGCTTTTTCCTTCCCCAATGGAGATGAAAACCAGTTTACAATATTCTCCCCCTTCTCCATTTTTCCCTCACAACAGCTCCCATGAGGTAGGCTAGACTGAGACAGACACACCGGCCCAAGATCACCTGGCAAGCTTCCACAGCAGAGTCGGCTTTTGAACCTAGGCCTCTCAGATCCTAATTTGACATCACAATGGTGCTAGGATTTTTAACAGAGCCTGTGTAACAGCAATGTCCAAAATGTTTGCAGCTTCTGTGATCTTTATAATTCAAGAATTATATTGGCATACAACCAAAGAGCCTGCTTGGTGTAGTAGTTAAGAGCAGCAGAGACTAATCTGGAGAACCGGATTTGATTCCCTAACCACTTGAAGCCTGCTGGGTGACCTTGGGACAGTCACAGTTCTCTCAGAACTCTCTCAGCACCACCTGCCTCTCAGGGTGTCCGATGTGGGGAGAGGAGGGGAAGGCGACTGTAAGCCACTCCGAGATGCCTTCAGGTAGTGAACAGCGGGATATAAAACCATCTCTTCTTCTTCTTCAAAGAAGTGTCGATCTCAAGATTTCTCTCCGGCTCTGTTCGCTGCAAATGTAATAAGCAAGATCCCTCCTAGGAAGGCTAAGTGCCCAGGGCTCAGCAAAAGGATGGCTCTTTAGAACAGCATTTCTCCCTCAGACAGTAAAGCAAGTGTTCAAACTGTGGGGATGTCAGTGGAAAAGAAAAACATTCATGGTCTGAAAACGGACCACGTTGCACAGCTTCAGGTAGTCAGAGGGTGTCAAACAGGAAATGAGAGAGGATCCTGGCTGAGATGCAAGAGATGGATCTCCTGTGATGAGCTACCCTAATAACAAGGAGATGACAAGAGATGGAGCGCATAACCTAATGGATCAAGATTTATAATGCCTGACCTCATAACAGCCAGCATGATATAGTAGGTAGAGTTTCAGATTAGGATCTCGGAGACCCTGGCTCAAACCTCCACTCCGCCATGAAGTTTGATGAGTGACTTCAGGACAGTCACACACTCTCGGCCTAACTTACCTCACAGGGGTGTGGCTGCAAGGATAAAATGATGGAAAGAACTCCAATGTTATATAGTGCTTTGGGTCTCCATTGGGGAGAAACGTGAGGTAAAAATATCTAAGTGCCAGCATGGCATACTGGTTAAAGTCCTGGGCTAAGGAGGCCTCAGTCAACTCTCCATTCAGTCATGAAGCTCACCTTGGGCCAGTCACACCCTCTCAGCCTAACCTGCCTCACAGGGTTGTTGTGAGGATAAAATGGATGCAGGAGACACAGCAGTCACAAATGAAAAGGAACCCCCAGACCGGAACACCACTGTCTTTAGCCAGGTATGAATATCAACCACGCGTTGCTGCTCATCATTCTCTCATGGATACATCTCCCTCTCTCAGTCTTACGGTTTGGTACAGGAACATCTCAGGTAAGAACTTTTTAAACCAAGAAGTTCAGCTAGTCACCAGGTCCTCAGCAGAACCGCACTTATGGAAAAGGAAGGATGAGGGACTTTACCCCTTGCAAGCTTCCTTGCTCCAACCCTGCCAACCTATGTGACTGTACCTCTCTGAGAGTCTTATAACCCTGGAAAATTTTGGGGCTCAGAAGGGACAGCTTCCTTCCATGCATGCAGAGGTATGGTAATAACATGGAGGAAAGGAGAATGATATAAACTGCTACTTGGCTGTGCTGTGCACTCCATCACCCACTGGCCCATCAACTGTCACTCAAGAGTATGCACATGCCATTGGCTGGGGGCTGGGTCCACTCCTCTCCCCCGCCTACTGCCAGCCTGGCCACTGTTCCCTGACAGAATTAACTACCAAAAAGGCTGTCTCTCCTGATAAAGATGCTTCTCCTACTTGGCTCATGCGGCTAACTTTTCCCTCAGTGGCTATGGGCAATCAAGCTTGGTTCTGTCAGTAAAAAGGCAAAGGCAAAAGGCCCAGTCCAGGCCTACTTTGACCTTGGTGGGGAACTCATTGGGGCCAGTCCCTAGGGCTCCCAGCTCCACATTGGAAAATTCCTGGATATTTTGTGATGGAGCCTACAGAAGCCAGAGTCTGGGGAGGGGAGAGGCCTCAGCTGAACAGAATGCCATCGAGTCCACCCTCCGAAGCAGTTATTTTCTCCTCAGGAACCATTGCTGGCAATCTCCAAGTGAGATCACTCAGAATTAAAACTGCTCTCCAGATGGCAGAGATCAGTTCTCCTGGAGAAAATGGATGTTTTGCAGGGTAGGTCGCTTCCCTCCTGCTTGGGTCTCCAGTGCCCACTGCAGAGAAAGACTGTACTTTTCCTAGGTAGAGGCTGCAGGTGGGGAGGGGCGATGGAAAGCTGAAGTCAGAGGAGCAGATAACAGTATGCTGATGGTTGGCTGGGAAGAAGATAAGGTTGCCAACTCCACGTTGGGAAATTCCGGGAGATTTGAGGGAATTCCTGGAGGTCACTCAGAATTACAACTGCTCTTCAGATGGCAGAGATCAGTTCCTCTGGAGAAAATGGTGGACTCTGTGAAATTGATGCTGAGTGCCCAAGGCCAGGGCACCCGCCTAGAGCCTTTTTCTAGAGCTCATTGTATTTATTTCCAGAACAGGCCTTATTCCTAGTTAATAATAATACCCCTCAACATATCGTTTCCATTCCTACCTTAGCTCAAGGATCTTGTTCATTGATGCGGTCCCTCACTGTGAGCGTTTTCGTCCCTGTTATCACCACTCCGACTGCAAGGATTCTACACAACCACTATAATGAGTAAGCTAAACTAAGATTAGGGGGCCCAGATTCAAATCCCCACTCTGCCAGGAAGCTCACTGGGTGGCTTGAGGCGCTCACTGTCTCCCAGCCAAATCTACTTCACAGGGATAGGGTGAGAGAATAATATACTCTGCCCGGATCTCCTTGGGAGAAGGGTGGGATAAAAAGTGTAACTGACAAACACCACCAAGTGAACGAGACCCTGGAATACCTTCATCTTACCCGTTTCTCTCCCACCCTTTCCTCTAACAAGAACTGCAGCCTTCTCAAGCGTTTTTGGCATGATGCCCAAGTACATTCTTAGCTCTACAGCTTCTGGACTTCACACAGAAACAATAAATCTCTGCTGTGGAACACGTAAGCCAGACAGTTCATTTTTTTTCCAGCATTGCTGAGAAAAAACCACAGGGCCCGGTGGCCTGGGGCCTACAGTAAAATTTAGCGTTTTGTGGTTTCTAGCCCTCATTAAGTCCAAAGATATACAGAAACTGTAATGGGGTACAGCATGGAGAATCGAATAACTTAAAACAAGTAATTCCAGACTCCCAAGTACGGGATGCAACAATCTTGCTTGAACCAAGCAAGTCTGTACCATGTAGATGCTTGGGTGGCCTAGAAAGAACAACCACTGGCTGCCCTAGAAGACAAAAAGGGAACATTTTGCTTCCCTGCCACCAAAAGCTACCTGGCAAATATGTAGTTTGGAACTCAGTGCCACAATGAGTGATGTTGGCAGAGCTGTAACATTTCTAGAAATGTTAGCACCTGAGGGTTTTTTTTTGTTTTTTGGGGGGATTGCCCTCCCCAAGAAATTTTGGGGAAATACTGACTTAGCAAACTTTAGCGACATAAAATGCAACAAATATATCCAGGCACATGAAATTGTACCATTTGGCATATTTGTAAAATGTCAAAAATTAATCCTGTAGTCCTCTAGAACCAAAACTGTGAATATACTCAACGAGAGAGAGAGAGAGAGACTAACTTCTGTGGCCTCTACTTAGCAATATGCAACTTATAGTTTTCACCACCTGAGAGGTAGGGCGAAAGCTGAAAACAGAAACATTCAGTTTGCAGTAAACAAATAAAACCTGGACAGAAACAGTCTCAGGCAGTCACAGACTAGCAGCGTGTTTGCATAAGAATTAAATTTGTTAACACTAGAAACAAACGGACAAACCCGGAACTCTTCAGTAGCATACCACCATCACTCACATTATAACAAGCTGTGGACAGTTGATTGCATTTAAACAATAAACATACCGTACTTGTGGAAAAGAGATAGCATATCTACAGTATACACAAGAGCAAGACTCGAGTCCAGTAGCATCTTAGACACCAACGGGGGGGCTTTTCTTCTGGGGAATGTGCTGGAACGGAGTTCTGGAAACTCTTTGACAAAATTCTTTTTAAAATGCTCAAACGTTCATGAGTTTTCAGTATACACATTGAAAACTCTTGAGAGTTCTGGCACCTCCCCCCCCCCCAAAAAAAGCCCTTGGTGGGGATGGGTTTTCAAGAGTTGAAGCACCCTGTGTCAGATAGTACATGACGCAGGGAGCTTTGATTCTTCGAAGTTTATACCCTGGAGATTTTGTTGGTCTCTAAGAAGCTACTCTAAGGAGCCGAGGTGGCTCAGAGGTTAAGACGCTGAGCTGCAGACCGGAAGGTTGGTAGCTCGGCAGTTCGAGACCCTGGTGCCGCGTGACAGAGTGAGCTCCAGTCTCTGGCCCCAGCTCCTGACAACCTAGCAGTTCAAAAGCAAAAAACTGCAACTA